ATGGGGACATTTTCCCCCTGTAGGGATGGAGATGGGGAAATTTTCATCCCCGTTGGTGGGGACGGTGCGGGGACAGGAAGAGCATTCCCTGTCCCGCGTGGACCTTGATCCCCACCCCACGTGATCCCCGCTAATATATATGTATATATACGCATACATTTATATATGTATGCATGCATCTATATGTTAATATTTTTAAAACTATGGTTGAATATGTTTGAATCTTTTCCAATAGGATTATGAATTTTAATTATTTTATTTTTATTTTTCAAATAAAACAAAAAACAAAAACATAATGGTTGACATTATAAAGAATCACGGGGTGTGGGATTCTTGCAGGGATGGGGGTTAGACTAGTTCATGGGTTGGGCTTCAGGCCTGACTTACACTATGTCAGGCTCGGGCCCATTCAAATTTTGGCAAAAGCTAAGCTCGAGCTTGGCCCACAATAGGTTTAATGGGGATCCCCATGGAGACTGGGATGAGGATAACTTTGTCCCTGTTAACAGGGATGGGGATGGGCGTGGATGGGGATTTTTGTGGGGACGGGGATGGGGAGAGGCTCCTCGTCCCTGCCCCACCCCGTTGCCATTCAAAATCATTAAACTTATGAAATTGACCAACCCTACTTTTAATAATGCCATTGTAATTTTTTTAAAATTTAAACTTAATTTTTAAGATTTATTTTTTAAGTTTAAATCTTTTGAACCGACCAACCAAACCGAAAATTGACCCAAATTGATATAACTTAGTGACCAACCCCCCAACCTAACCAGGTTGATTTGGTTGGCCAAAGAACCTACAATTGAACCCAACCAACCCGTGAACAAAAGTTTAATCTCCAATAATTATTAAAAATTCATAGCAAAAATACACCAGAAATTAAATTTAAAAAGCTAAATAACAGTAGTTTAAACTCCAATAATTACTAAAAAGTTACTATTAAATAACAAAAAAATATATATTTATACGTAACTATTGAAAATATATTTATCACAAAAAACAATAAATAATTACTGAAATACAATAAATATTAATTCTAGTATAGGTAAATGTATAATAAATAAAGATTAAGTTTTTAAAATTATTATTAACAAACAAGAATTATTTTGAAATTATTTTATAGAATTATTAGTTGGTATAAATGAAAATAGTTATTTACAATATTATTTATTTGTTGCAATAATATCATTATTTAAATTTTAAAATAATAATTACTTGTTGAATTTAATAATCCATACAATTATAGTAGTATTAATACATAATTTTGTTATTTTAACTATTTAAAATTTAGTTATGTTAAATATTTCGTTATTTAAAATATTTAGTTATTTAACTAAATATTTAAAATCTTAATCTATTTATTATAATTGAAAGCTATTCCGTAACTACTTAAAATATATAATAAATTTATTTAATATATTAATTTTAATATTTTGTCATTTAATATATTTAGTTATTGAATATTTAAATAATATTTTATTTTTAATGTTAGATTTTTATTATTTGAATTACATTTAAACTGAATAATCAGAAAATCATAATTTGTATTGTTTGTACATAATTTAGTGATGAATTTTGTAAAACTATATAATTGTTAATAATATGAATATTATTAAATCGATTATAATTATTTTTTGTCTTTTTAATAAAGATTTTAGAGTTATTATGTAATTTTGTTAGAAAATTTATTTAAACAATTCTTAAATTTTTTAATTCAAACTTTCTTTAGATATATGTAGATAAAAAGTGGGGGAGAAGATAAATAAGAATTAGAGATAATTTAGGAGATAAAATCTCTACTAAATTACCGATAACTTGGGAGAAAGTCGGGGATAGTGGGGGAGGTTGTTTGGGAGAAATTTTAGGATATTAGATTATTTAGGTTATTGGAATGTGTGGGAAAGAGAGAGAGAGATTTTAGGAAGATTTTTTTGGGGAAAGTAGAGTCTCTAATTGGTAGTTTCAAAAATGACATAGATTAGAAAAATTAAAAATTCAAAAAAAGGAGAAAATTTCTTGACTGCTTTGTTTTAATGTATATATATATATATATATATAGATAGATAGATAGATAGATAGATAGATCGATAGATAGATAGATAGATTAGTGGGTAAGTAATAATTTGCTATTGACTTATGTTGTAGAGTATAAAATTAGTAGACTAATGTTAATTTATGCATTTTGTACAATTTCTATGCATTTTTTCTGAATTTTTCTACTATTGTTTTTGTAATTTTTTGCACTTTCATAGTTTTATGCATTTTCATAGTTTTTTTTATTATTCTGCACTTCTCTATAATTTTTTGTGTTTTTTTGCAACTTTTTTGCTTTTTTTTTGTAATTTTCTACAGTTTCTTTCATTTCTATAATTTTTCATTGTATTTTTAGTAACTTTTTTTGAATTTCCTGCATTTTCTAAAAGTTTTCTGTATCTTTTGCAAATTTTCTGCTTTTCCTGCATTTTCATGCATTTGTTTTAGCAACTTACTACATTTTCTGCATTTCTACAAATTCTCTACATCTTTTGCACTTATGTTTTTGAATTCTCATGCATTTTTCTTCAAAACTTTTGCTGTTACGAAAATTTATTTTTAAACTTTTATCATTTTATAAAATTTTTTTTGCAAAATTTCTGCATTTTTTTGTGTACTTTGTAACTTTTCTGCATTTATTGTATTTTCTACATTTTCATGCATTGCTTTTGCAATTTCTTGCAATTTCTTTTTTTTTTTTTAATTTTCCTATACTTTCATGCAATTTTCTTAATCCACGGGCCACACTCATTTTTTGAACATGTTTCTTGATTGCCCAACAATTTGCTCCATACTACATAGCCAACCTTACAACTGTTTTATAGAATTTTTTCTTTTTAATTTAAGTGTTCTCCTATAATATCACACAAAGGTTTATCTAGACTACTATTAAAAGTATGAATGATGTGAATCCTTTTTAACTAAAATACCTCTACCTTTGAATTTGGTCTCTCTATGATTCTAAAGGCACTTGCTTTTCACTTAATTCAATTCCCTCTCATTAAGTCTCATGTTTAAGGTATTTTCTTTGATGCTCTGTCATTAAATCCTATATTTAATGTACTTTTTTTTCATCGATAAATTGTACTAATAAGATTTAAATTCAATACAATATAAAATTCATGTTTTTTTTTCTTTTTTCTTTTTAAAACCAACTCAAGAACATAATTGTTCTTCCATCTAGGTGGTTTAAAATTGACCCAAAAATGAAAATTTTGCCTTATTTGGTGGAGGGTCAACCTTTTTAGGTCAAATGTGTCAACAATTAATCTTATAATTAAATGAAAAATTAAAAAATGATAAAAAATTATAGAAATTCAAAAATTTTATAGAAAACATTCAGGAACATCCTTATATTTTAAATAATCATATTAAAGAAAAATAAGTGCGATAAACAAGAATTGCTTTTATTGATGATGGGAATGAAATACAAAATTAAAATCGACCCAAAAATGAAATTGCTATTTTGTTTGGTGGCAGGCCAACAATTAACCTTTTGTGTCAAATGTGCCAACCCCTACTATCATAATTAAAAAATAAAAATTAAAAAAGATAAAAATACAAAATATTATAAAAAATATAAAAACTTTGTACAAAACATTTGGGACATCTCTAATATTATATATTCATTATATTAAACAAAAAATTTGTGATAAATCAAAATTACTTTTATACATATAGAAATATAAAAGGTTGTGAGAAAATTTGGACACATATTTTTACTATGAAAGATAATGGAGGTAGGAGGAGGGTTATTTGTTTGGGAGTGAGGTAATAAGAAAAACAATGAGTGCAAAAAGGTTGTAAAATGATAGCCCCGCTTGGGTTATCAGTTTTGTGGATGCAAAACAGTGCAAATGAAAGAAAATGCAAGTCTTGCAGCATCTAGAGGTACAAATCATAGTCGTAAACAAAATGCATGCAAAGTTGAAGTGGGTGCAAAATATTTATAATCTGATTCAAATTAACAATGCAAACAAATATCTAGAGCCTTAATTTATTCACCTAAAGTTTGGTATGTCATCAAAAGGAAGAAAGCACCAAAGTTAGCAACATCTTATTGACAATGTCAGCGTCTTTGAAGCGCAGCCCACCAAATCTGGTTGGCTTAAGAAACCAAATCATGCTTTAAGATGAATCAGGTGTTATGTCCCTGGTAGACATCTCTGACTAAACTGTTCAATTTACCTCATACTGAATTGACTAATTTAGCAATGGCCATGTAGTTGACAGGGTAGTACCAGTGGACTGGACAAAGTAGTACTGATCCAAGCTTTGGGACTCATAACCCATGTCTGTTGCTTGAATGACAGATATATATATATATATATATATATATATATATATATATATATATATATATTGCATGTATCAGAGATCATTTCTCATGATAAAACTATATATGAGTGCTTTGTCTTACTAATTGAAACACAGCCTTATATTTTACAATACAGATCTTGATGATTTGGATGGTGATGAATGCACTGAAGTACTATTGGACAGAACACTTTGCCTAGAATCAACAAAAGAGATATAATATTTATTTGTTTATTACAAGTTCGTTCGTTATGGACGAAATTTGTATTGTCGGGACTTTTCCATTATCAAATTCATAGAAAATTCTTGTAATCCAATCAGAAAGTTAGAGCATACGTACTTGGCAGAGAAACCTTTTGATTTTCTAGTTTCTTTTTTATTTTTACTCAAGGGAGCACATGCAAATGAGAGGATCAAGACATATACAGTGAATTTTTTACTTAATAAGAAACCAGATTTAAATATAAAATAAGAGGTTTGAACGATACATTGAAGCTATACCCATTTCTTCTGACGCCATTTTTCTCCTTTTTAAAATGGAAACACGAGCAATAGTGTGGTAAATAATTCTGATAATTCAGTTTTCTTTATTACAAGGGATTCGTTTTCTAATCTCCAATCAATAAATTAGTTACCAAAGTCAAAGATAAGCAGAAGACTATATTCATTTGGTGTAAGAAGAACCCAAATACACCCACATTGATTCTTTTTTTTAACATTATATTCTCTTTCTTTCCACAGTTTGGTTTCTTCACTCTCTACCTAACTAGTTGAGAAGGATGTTCAAAAGTTAAAACAGAAGGTAAGTATTTATTAAAAAAATTAGAAGCTGTTGGCATCTTCAAAACCCAACGGTCACATGAACAGGAGAACAAAAGACCAAAGTTGGTTACACTGAATCCATCAATCCAATGGTGTATTTTAGACCATTTTTTTCTTCTATGCACTTCAGCTTGTCTTGCTTATACATTAGTATATGGTTCAACGTTTTTCTCCTCCTCCTCTGTCTTCTCTTCCCAAAACTTCCCTTAGAGTCCGAGAAGAACGTAGTAGAGTATTGTTATGGGTAGTGCAATCAACATTCCAAAAATGACCCTGCAACAAAGGGAATATTTCAGTTCCAAAACGTGGTGTTTTATGGAAATTGCAAGATTCTTTATGAGCAGTTGTGTCTTTTTTTTAATAATATATATAAATATAACTTACGCAGTGCTCAGTATATCTGGATGAACATTATATTCTTTTGCAAACACAAAGGGGACAATCCCTTGGGGAAGAGCGGCCTGTAACATGAAAGAAAGACTATTAAGCTTAAAGGGTTTTTTTATTTATAGACCCTTTTAGAGTTTAGGGTTTACTTAGGCTGTGCTTGGTTGCAGTGCAAATTTATTTGCACTAGTACAAATGCATGGAGTGCAAATGAAAAAAGAAAATGCAATTTCTCATTTAACTTTGTTTTGGGTTTTTACTTTATTTTGATCCATGTCTTAATTTATTTCATTTGTACTGCAATCAAATAAAATAATAACTAAAATTTGAAACAAAAATAGATCAGAATTTCTACTCAAATCATTTGCACTGTCATAAAATTAATTTGTGTTGCAACCAAACACAGCCTTAGGATTTAATTCTGCATATACCTGAACAATTGCAACATGCAACAGAACTCCCTTAACACCAATAGTGATTGAAGTCGCTGCCATTACTGCTGGTCCTGTCAAAAACCTAACGGCCATGGAAAATGTGGCTACAGTTTTGCCACAAGCTATGATTTTTGGTTGCAGAGCCATGAACAAGCCTGTCCAAGAAGCAAACAAGATTGAACTGTTTTAATATCTAATAATACATGGTTGCTGTAACCAAAATGTTAAATTGGTTATAACAAAATACCTAGACTAAACATAGCCATCCCCAGACCAGCATTAGATAATATGGCTATCGACCCACTCACGATTGAAGGCATTTGAATGTTCCATCTGTCAAACAAATTAATGCAAAGTATTCAAATTACAAATAAAGATATCCAGCATTCAGCAGCATGTTAGGACATTGTTTGGATGAGAAAGAAAAAGGAAGAAAAAAGAAAGCATGATAAAGGATGGGGGAGATGAGTAGAGTGGGGATACAGGAAAAGAAATGTAATAAAGATGAAGAAGATTCCTGGGTTGGGTCTTAATATATTTTAGTAAGGCTGAGTTTGGAAGGTGTACAGATGCAAATAACTTTTTAATATATTACCAAAAGTGTATTTTTTTAATTCCTTATATTCTAAGTAACTTTTCTCTTTTTTCCTTATTTCTGTAGTTTGGCCCACTAAAGTCCTAAATCTATTTAGTAGGCTAGTAGAAAAAAAAAAGAAGAAATCCTATCCCACTGTGTTATTTCAATATTTTATCAGTCATTAAAAATGTTTTTTGATATTCTTTCTCTCTATTAGTATGAATTAAATTTTGCTTATTAGACTCATGTATCAAAAACCCAAATAGACAAATAATTGATTAAATAAAATTAGGGAAAATTCCCGATTAGTACCCTGTACTTTGGGCCTAATACTACTTTGGTTCTCGAACTTTAAAATGTGGCAATTTAGTACTCGGATTTTCAAAACGTGTCAATCCAATACCTACCGTTAACTAGCTGTTAATCAGGCGCCGTTAAATGGCCTTTGAAAAATACACAAATGCCCTTCGGGTGTCATCTAATATTTTTTTTTTATCAACCATCCAAACATTAACAAAAAATTAACAGTCCTAAAACCTTGCCTCTTTTATTCAAGAAAGTTGGGATCCAAAATGCCTATTAAGACGTGACCCCAACATTTTTGAATAGAAGAAGCAAGGATTTGGGATTGTTAATTTTTTGTCAATATTTGGATGATTGATAAAGAAAATTAGATAACACTCAAAGGGCATTTGTGTCTTAACGGTTGGTTAACAGCTAGTACGGTAGGTACTAGATTGACACGTTTTGAAAGTTCTGGTACTAAATTATCGCATTTTATAGTTCGGGGACTAAAATGACACTAAACCCAAATTACAGGGTAGTAATCGAAAATTTTCCATAAAGATAAAAAAAATTAATTAAGGGAAAAGAAAACATATTTTAACTTTGTAAAAGATACCGAAAAGGACAAATAAAGAGAAAACTAATTCGGTGAGGTCTCCCAAACGACAATAACAATCAATAGGACTACGGAGTGTCTTAATAGCCATTTCAAAAACAGTTGGACACAGAGGTTGAATGTAAAAAGGATCCCTAGTGGGTACATGTTTCCATTGGAGGAAAATTTTTATATAAGGATTTTATTCTACTATGCTTAGTTGTAAGTGAAAATTTAAAAATGTCCTCATGGGTAGATTTTCCATTAGTAAACATTGTCTGAGATTTTATAGGAGTACCTGAAAGATATGAGGGACCACGCTAGCCCAAAGAGACTTGAGTAAGTGTTTGGATTCCTTATAAGCTTCCTCCAAACCATGATAAGAATGAGCCTGGTCATAACACTTGCAGGGGGCATCTGGTGTTTCTTTTCACCCTCTCCTCCCAATTCAACCTTCTTCTCTGTCAAATGGGGTGATCCAGAGGCCTGATTCTTGGGACCATCTTCTATGTCAAACTCTCTATCTCCCCCCATTTTTGTAAGTGGGCTATCATTTTCATTGAAATCATGCATACCTATATCATACACCATATGAAAATTTTCATCAGGAAATTAATTAAAAGAAAGAAAACCATGATTTAATTCAAAGTAGTTAATTTATATTGTGACACGATAAACAGATTATATTTGAGAGAGAGAGAGAGAGAGTTACTGTACCTCTTGAAGCAGCTATTTCTTGTTGAAGAACAGCCTTTGAAGAATCAAGCACTCCAAAATCTGTAGAAGCAACTCTATTATTAACGGCATTTCTGAGATTTCCTTCTGAGACAGGAGATGCACTTGAGCTCCAAACAAACATATGGAGTTCCTTATTATTAGGCGCACTGCCTCCAGCTTCCTTCTTCTTGGCGCCACTGGTTGCCCCTGATAACATTGGGTTCGGAGGTGGGTAAGAAGAAGACAGTACTCCATTGAAGAGCTCGCCACTCATGCTCCTCCCTCCTTTCCTCTTCCCAAACCTCATCATCTCCTCTTCAAAATTCGAAGTCCTCGGCGTTGCCCCTCTCGAGGACTGCAGGGAATAAACATCCCCAGAGCCACCTTGACAACTGTTTGTGTGACTGTGGCCGTGCTTTGGACTTGGCATCTTACTTGCAAACATGGCGTAGAAGTCAGTCTGGTTGAAGCTTGAAGCCCTTGGCGTTGGCTCTCGGGACGACTGGACCGAGTAGATCTCCATACCAGTGAGGTTGGACGCTCTTGGGGTCATCGAAATTGAATTTAGCCCATGTGATTTGTTGTAAGAAGATGTCACCGACGTTGTGGTTGATCTCCTGACGACCACATGGAGCTTCCCGTCGTCTCCAATCTCAGCGTCGGCCTGCAATGGCTCCCGACCATTCAGTGAAGCGACGTCAGAGTCAACCCTGAAGGAAGTGATGGAGCCAGCAGTCTCTGGGAACTGCTCTCCGATGAGGAGCTTTGCACCTCTGTATTCAAACATGAAGAGCATAAGAGTGTACCAGATCACACTCTGCAACACCACAATTTGCACCATGAGACTCCCAGAGAACTCTCCATACATGGCCTTAAGGAGGGGAATGCCCATGACAAGAGTGTTGGGGAGAGTGGAAAGGGAGAAGAGGGTGATCATCCATTCCAGGCTACCATTCTCGCTGAAGGCCTGCCAGAGGAATAGAGCAGAGAGGATGACAATCTTTTGCAGAGAGTCGGCAGCGATGAAGCGGTAGTTCATGGCATAAGGATTGTTACTGGAGATGAAATGGAAGGAAAGGAGGGGGACGGCGAAGACTGCCACAAAGCGATTGATGCCGGAGCACTGATCGGGGGTGAAGATCTTCCACCACCGAACTGAACCATAGGCGAGGATCATAGCAACATAGAGTGGTACAATTGCTGCTAGCACATCGTAGATGTCCTTGCCGGTGATCATGGTTGCTGCTGGAGGGACAGGGACAGTTGTGCAGTATTACTCTTGCAGCTTTATAATGTCAAAACACAGACTAGTCCACGAGATAATAAACTGTTCCAAAATCAAGGAAAGAACAAAGCTTAATAGAGAAACCGAGAGAGGGAGAGAGAGAGAGAGAGAGAACTGAAGAAGAAGGAGTGGTTACATATACAGTCAGATACTCTTTTGAGTGAGCTCTGCTCTCTGCTGCAACACATTCTGTAATCGACTAAAAAAAATCATATAACAAATTCTGTGAACTGAAGCTGTATTGCTTACCATAACGACAGGTACAGGCGTAGATGTTAAATCCATCTCATCAAACAATCAAAAAATTTTCACAAAAACAAGGAGCGTCTGCGTGGCCTTGTCATCCACCGTAAAAACAGATTTAAACGGCAGGAGACACAGATGTCAGATCCGGACGCCATCTGGTTACAGAGATATGCCAAAAAGGGGTTTTCTTTGATTGGTTTTCCCCATTATGGTTTTTATGTTTTTTCTATTTATATCATTCTTTAATCTTTATCCATTAAAAAGGATTAACTATAAGATTTTATTATTTCAGACACGCCACATGCCCCAACTCATGCAACCAACCTATTGTCCATGTGCAACCGCCAACCAGTAGTACTGTAAGGGCATGCTGCCGTGCCGTTAATCCTTTTTTGAAATATATGCAAATTAATTAATAATTTTGTTGTAACCCCACCCCACTTTTCCTCTTTCACTATTGTTGAATAGAGGTATACGTGTACATGTGGGTCCGCTTTTGTGAGACGTGCCATGGTGCATGATAGCAAGGTTTTTAAAACCGAACCAGTCAGGGTCCGGTTCTCGGGTCAAATGATCCAATCATTCAAGTCGAATGAATTTGATAAATAAAATTAAAAAAATAAAAATGACCAAAACTGTTGGACGGTTCGAATAATTTGATTGCCCGAATCAGTAGTTTGCTGAACAAATCAACAGTTTTTGGTGAAATAACGTTTTTGGGGTAAAACGGAATCGATCACCTGAATTCATAATCTTATTGGTATAAAAACATATGCGACAATTCAGTTCCTGAACTTTAAAATGTGACAATTCAGTTCCCGAACTTAATTAATAATCTTATTTGGGTCTAATGCCATTTTGGTCCCCGAACTTTAAAATGCGACAATTCAGTTCCTAAACTTTTAAAATATGTTAATTCAATACTTGCCATTAACAAGCTTATTAACTAGCTGTTAAGTGATATTTGAAAAGACATAAATGCCTTCGAGTGTCATATAATTCTCTTTATTAACCATCCAAAAGTTGACAAAAAATGAACAGTCCCAAATCCTTGCCTCTTCTATTTAAGAAAGTTGGGGTCACCAGAATGCCCACTGAGACGTAACCCCAACTTTCTTGAATAGAAGAGGTAAGGATTTGGAACTATTCATTTTTTATCAACATTTGGATGGTTGATAAAGAAAATTAGGTGACACTCGAAGGACACTTGTGTCGTTTCAAATGTCACTTAACGGCTGCTTAACAACAGGTATTGGATTGGCACATTTTAAAAGTTTAGATACTGATTTGTCGTGTTTTAAAATTCAGGGACTAAAGTGGCATTAGGCCCAAAGTACAAGGTATTAATTGAGAATTTTCCCTAAAAAATTAACAAAGTTCTGCAACAAGTTAGCCGTATAAAAAATATTTTTTTGACCAGATTGCCCTTGTTAAAACTCAACACCAAACTCATTTTTCATGTTCCCTCTCCTTTCTTTCCCACTCATTATCCACTCCTCTCTCGTTTCTCATTGTTTCAGTCTTTCTTGTTTCTCTCTCTTTCACTTTGTAATAAGGTCCTTTTCAACTCTAAACAAAAGCAAAGTAGATTGAGGCCTCATCTCTAGCAGAGCACTGCTAGGGAATCAAGTATAGTTGAATGTTCGGCATCTCTAGAAGAGCACGGTGTCTAAACTCTCACTAGCAACCAAAACACTAGATTTTGAAACCTAACCTCAGAGTATTGCCTTTGTAGTCCAAGAAAGTTTACAAATCTTGCAAATGATTTGAAGTTCTTACCTATAATTCTTTTATTCTTTCCTTTTGTTAATATTTGTATCTTTTGTGTCTATTAAACTCTTGCAAATGATTTGAAATTTCTCTCTATGTATCCCTTTTCTTGGTTTATGCATTCTTCTTGTGTGTTGAAAATTGAAATGAAGTGCATTAATTATATCTTTAGAATAACCATGAAAAAGTTCTGGTATTCAAGAGACAAGGGCAACTTGAGGAGATAATTGATGGAAATTATGTGGTTTTTCTATTTCACATTTTCTCCATATATTTGATAATGTGGGTATGAATCATTGCAATTTTTCTAAGCTATGGAGATTTTAAACATTCTACTTTGAGCATAATATAAAGTGTAGAGAGCACGTGGGGTTCCTTGAAAGAGAGATTATTTCATTTAACCCAATCTTCCTTGATTGCCAAATGGAACCCCGTTTGATACATCTTTCCGTGTGGTCTGTTGGCTATTTACAAGCCCGAAAATCATGTTGTGACATTTTTTTGTTTGGCAATGAGAACACAGAATACAAGCATGCAACATATTTTTGCACAAATGGGGTAATGTTTAAATCCACTCACTTGTTTAAGTACTTAGGATGACAGGAATGGAAGAAGTTTAGAGACAGTATCACATATCATGGACTGCAACTTAATAAGCTGCAACTTTGTCAACCTAGGATATCCAACCCCCAAATAAAAAGGCAAGACCACAATGAATATACGTTTTAAGCAAGCCAGCTGAGTTCAAAGAATGATGCTGCATGGGAAACCTAGGTATTACTTATAGTCTTAAACTCGATTAGCTATGGGAACTCTACTTCAAGGTTAATTTTAAGATTGGGACATTAATAGGGGTAGATAAATTTGGAGGTGGAAGGGGAATTTAAAGTGATTATAGGCAATGCAAAACTACTACCTAGTGCCCAAGTCCTTGGTAGTTCAGGACATAGTATTATAGAAATATGGAGGCTAGATTCCCGGCAAAAAGAATAAATTAGATAATTTACTAGAATACCTCCTATAGTTTTATAGATTTACTCAAACTTACAGTTTGCATTTTACTAAAACGTACATCTCTTATAGTTTGCAAACTATTTGCTTAATTGACCTTTTATTAAGAACTATTTGTGTTTGTCATATGAAAATAGTAACATGATCACCTAAACTAAGTGGAAAATGTTGAAGGGCATGGACCCATGGTTGTTTAATCCAAAAAAAACCCTAAACTGAGTGGAAAATGTTCAAGGGTGGTATGAATCCATGGCTGTTTATTCCAAAAGTATCCTAACATTTTTTTGTATAGAAAACAAAATTGATCAAATAGAGAAAAATAGAGTGGTTGTCCATATTTTAATAGGGGCAAAAATGGTTTTTTATTTTTAGTTTTTATTGATTAAATTTATTTGAATGGATGTTAGTATTAAAACTGTTATTTTCCAATTTCATCTAAAGGAAGGTCAATTAAGTAAATTGATTGCAAATTACAGGGAATGTTTTAGTAAATGACCCAATAAATTATACATTTAAGTGGAACAAGGTCTAGCTGAATGCCATGGCTGTTCAGCGGGATGTGGAATCAATGATAAGGTTCAGTCAGTAATAAAATACATGGGACCCACACCTTTTACAGTAGGGCCCATGAATTTATTACTAGCGTGGAATGTCACCATTGGTTCCACAGTTTGTTGAGAAATCATTATATTTAGTTAATTCAAATTCATTTAATTGGATATAAGAAGATGAAAAAATTCACTGGATGCTTCTTAGTCTAGGGAGGGACTGGATGGATTTGAAATGCATTGGAAGTCTATCTAACAAGGACTCAACACATAACAATAAGATAAGAAAGTTCACTCTTTACATGAGGCGGTTACATTGGCTTAATTAGTCTGGTTTCATTAGTTGTGCTTGAGCACAAAATAGTATTAGAGCCACAACGAAATGTTGGTCTCAGCTATTTAGGGTCTTGGGAAGCTGTAATGGATTTAAACCTACCCTTTGGCATTTTTAGCACACTGTAATCACTCTCAAAGTCAAATATGCAATCTTCTGTTCATCAGCCTAAGATTTTACCAATACCAAATAATTAGGGATGGTAATCTTTCTATCCTTGACGGGGACTTGACTTTCCCAACTCAATGGGGTCGGAGATGGGATTGTTTTGGTGGGGCAGGAATAGGGACGAGGATTAATAGAAATTCTCAAGTGGGGTCGAGATCGGGAATAGGAATTGAGGTCCTCACCCCGCCCCGACCCCAATTACACACATATATATATAATTTAAAATTTTTATTTATTTAAAAAAAATAGTATTATCTAAAAACATTTTGAAGATTCAAGTCTCCGGCAGGAATTGGAACAGGAATAGAGGTTAATTTCAGAATCGGGGTCAATAACGAAAAATATATTCCCTGCCCCATTTCCATTCCTCCAAGCAATGGTCCCTTGAGCATGGAATAATATTGTAATATACAAAATATTTCTTCATCTAGATAAAACATACTAAAGCAATGGCCCCTTGAGCATGGAATAATATTGTAATATACAAAATATTTCTTCATCTAGATAATATATACTAAATAGTTATCTAGGCTCCACTTATGTACTACATGACGAACAATAGATCAATAGTACTTCAGATTTATTGGTTAAAAACTCACTAAAAATAGATAGCAGTTATTCCTAGCACATGTGGTTTGTGCCTTTTTCTCCTTGTCCCATTGTTTACTACCAACCACATAAAAGCAGCTAATAATAACATTGCCAAACATGTCATATAAGCTAATTACATGATGCCTTAGGATATATAGCGATATAGTATTGCATCATTAAAATGCACAAGTTAATATTCTCATACATACTCGAAAAACATTTAAAAGTAGGTAATATTTTTAAGCCCTTAAAGCCCAAATTAGCACAAGTCAAATTAATCATAGCTAGTGTCTTGATTCTAGTTTTCAATTCTTGCCATTATGTTCTGATGAATAGCTTTTTGGAGGTTGAGGATCTTGATGACCTCTCAACCTTCTTCACAGGGAAATTTAAGTGTGTAGTTGCTACCTTTCACTTTCTTTTGCCCATAAGAAGGCTGGTCCTCACTAGTTGTTGCAGGTAGAGCCCTTTGACTTTCTTCCAAGTTCTGTGTTTGAGGACTC